ATCACCACGGTGACAAATCACACACTTCTCTACTGTCCACCACCTCCTGAACCTTGGAGTCAACTGTCCCTCTTGATACCGTGTGACTGCCATGGGCTCAGAGGATGAATGTGGAACCAGCCCCACTCCCCTCTCTGCCTGATTCCTCATAGCATAGAACCACAAAGCTGTGTGGATGAAGCAGATTGGCTAGAGGGGAGGGCTCATTAAATGGACTTACACTGTGGGAGTAAATAAAAGGTAAAATTATATGGTAAATTCAGCCATACTCACACTAGAATAAAAGCCACAGAGGACTTCGAACAGGGGTGGGTGGAAGAGTCGGCTTGAGCAGGAGAATCTAGGGTGTTCTTGGCAATTCCAAATTGGGCTCCTGAGACCTCCCAGCCAGCATGGGGTTTGCATATGCCTTCTCGTCTTACCAACACACATCTCCCAAAGACAAACAGCGGTTCAGAGATCGAAGTCGGGCTTCGAGCTTCGTATAAAGAAAAGAAACATTTCTCTGCATGCAATGAGCGCTACACAACTCTCCACCCACCGATGGGGATATGTTTTCACCTTCTCTCTGCTTCCAGAGGCAGAACAAGAAGGGGCCTTCAGGAGACCCTAATGTTTCTTCACCCTCAGGCTACATGAAAGACCTGGCTGAGGTTCTGGAATGACCACTGTCCTGTACCTGGAGCCTGAATACATCCCTACATGGGAGGCCTCCCAGGACGCTATCCAAATGGGTGGGAGGCAGAGTGATTTATCATCTTCTGGTCCAAGCAACTGACTTTCCAAGTTGCATTAGGGAAACTAAGGTTCAAGCGACTTGTGTGGATGCACTTTCCAGGACTATTTGCACTGCTTTATGTGCATCCCTTCCGTTAATAATAATAAGGCTTGCTTCAGCCTTGTGCAAGACTTTTCTCTCTAAATCTGTAGTTCTCAAAAAGGGGCAGTTTTGCCCTCCAGGAAACGTTTGGTGATGTTTGGAGACATTTTCAGTTGTCACGAGCTGGGGAGGCTTGGGGGAGAGGCTGCTGGCCTCTCTGGGTAGAGGCCAGGGATGCTACTAAATACCCTACGACACACAGGCAACTCCCCACAAGAAAGAATTACCCAGCTCCAAATCTCCAAAGTGCTGCTATTGAGAAACTCTTCCCTAAGTTCTTGGAAAAAATGAGGTTTTCCTTCATCTGTGACCACTATTCACTAGCTACTCACCCTCATGTCACTCCTGAATTTTACTTTTAAAATTCATCAGCCAGGGGCACCTGGGTGGCTTAGTCGGTTAAAAGTCAGACTCTTTATTTTGGCTCAGCATGATCTCAGGGTTGTGAGTTCGAGTTCTGTGTCGGGCTCCCTGTTCAGCAGGGAGTCTGCTTCTTCCTCTCCTTCTACCCCTCCCCCTCTGCTCATGCTCTATCTCTCTCAAATAAATAAATTCTTAAAAAAATTCTTCAACCAGTCAACCAGATGATTCCTACAAATCATCTTCCAGAAGCAGATTAAGAGTGATAATGGCATTTACTGAGTTCTTACTGTGTGCCAGGTTCTGGAACAAGGAGTTTACATACTTTATGTCACTATTGTCCCCATTTTTCAGAAGAGAAAATTGAGGCTCCAGGCACTTAAGTTGCAAATGTCTATAAAACTGAAAATCTCAGAGGAAATCAATTCAGAATTCCAAAGTTTCTGCTCTTTAACTCAATGCCTTTCTTTCTTTCTTTTCTTTTTCTTTTCTTTTTTTTTTAAATAAGCTCTAAGCCCAATGTGGGGCTCGAACTCATGATGGCATGATCGAGTCACATGCTCCACCAACTGAGCCAGCCAGGCCCCCTCACTCAATGCCTTTCTAAGGAAACCAGCAGTATTCAATTCATTAAGCAATTGCTTTATATGCAGAATTCTATTTTTCATCATCAGAATTTTTCTTCTTCTGACAAAAAGTATTTGTTACATAAATATGACTTCGTAATTATGGTCATCCATCATTTAGAACAAACTTCATAGATAGATTTAAAAGCACAGGTATTTTTTAAACTCCCTCCTTTCCAAGAAAATTTATGTATTTTATATATTTTTTTAAGATTTTATTTATTTAGGGACACCTGGGTGGCTCATTTGTTAAGCGTCTGCCTTCGGCTCAGGTCATGATCCCAGGGTCCTGGGATCGAGCCCCGCATCGGGCTCCTTGCACTGTGGGGAGCCTGCTTCTCCCTCCCCCTCTGCCCCTGCTTGTGTTCCCTCTCTGTCTCTCTCTGTCAAATAAATAAATAAAATCTTAAAAAAAAAAAGATTTTATTTATTTATTTTTGCGAGCGAGCGAGAGAGAAACACTACACGAGAGCATGAGCAGGGGGAGAGGCAGAGGGAGAATCAGACTCTCCGCTGAGCAGGCAACCCCAGACGGGGCTCGATCCCAGGACCCTGGGATAATGACCTGAGCCAAAGGCAGACGCTTAACCAACTGAGCAACCCATGCACCCTATATTTTGTATATTTTAGTCTCAAATTTAAGGAATCTTTTCATTTTTGGAACTTTCAGACTAATGCATATAATGCTTTCAATGGCAGAACCAGAAGCTTGCTCTATCCTGAGATGCCTGTATTAAAAAAACAGAAAGGAAAAAAAGCAAATTTTGTAATATTTACAAGAGCATACTGAAATTTTTTTTATTCACCTGCCTGTCTCCTCCCTTGTCTTGTGTACTGGTTTTCGAATGCTACATAACAAATTAAAACAAACTTAGCAACTTAAAAAGCAGCCATTTATTAGCTCACAGGTCTGTAAGTCAGGAGTTCCTGCACAGCCACTACGGAACTGTGTTCTCTGCTCAGGGTCTCTCAAGGCTTACATCATGGTGTCACTCAGGCTGACTTCTCATCTGGAGACTGCAGAAAACCCACTTTCAAACCCATTGAGGTTATTGGCAGAATTCAGTTCCTTGAAGTTGTAAAACTGAAGGAAGTCTCATTTCTTTGCTGACTGTTGGCCAGGGGTTGCTCTCAGCTCCTAGACTCGGCTGCGTGGTCCTTGCCAGATGGCCCCTTCCATCTCCAACATCATTAGTGGAGAATCTCCCTGATGATGAATCTACCTCATGCTTTGAGTCTCTCTCCAGGAAAAGCCCAGTCCCTTTTAACGTCTCACCTGATTAGGCCAGGCCCACGAGGACAATCTCCCTATCTTAAGGTCAATTGATTTGAAATCTTAATTACATCTGTAAAATCCCTCACAGCAATACCTTGATTAGTGTCTGAATAATTGGGAGAAGGTGCGTGTATATCAAGCAGGTGTGGAGCTTGGGGATCAACTTAGAATCCTGCCTAGTTTATAGTCTGTAAATTCCTTGGTGGCAAAAATTGGGCCTTGCATGTCTGGTACCCAATGGATGCTCCATAAATGTTCACTGAACTAAACGGTTTTAAAGGAATTGGGAAATTCTGAAGTCAGGAAATTGTTACATGGGAGCATTAACTTCCAGGTGAGGACAACTCCCATCAGGAAAAATATAATAGGCAGTGCTCAGAATGCCTTTGGGCTGATCACCATCCTGACCCAGTCTGCCTCTACCAAAAGATTAAGTGGAGTTTCTACTTTCAGTATGGGAATGCAGCTGCGATTTAGTAAGGGAAATCAAGGGAAAAAGAATTCCTATCCCAGAAATGTACAATAGAACAATTTTCCAGAATCACACCCATTCTATTGAGTAAAGGGTGTGTTCAGAGGGTTGATGGTGTCATGAGCTTACCTAGGCTAGTCTGCCAGCATTTTCAGGGTGGAACTACACATTATTCATATTTATATCCCTAGGGCTAGCACGGTGCCCGGTTCAAAAGACCAACTTTAGAGACAAAAGCTGATTGAACGCTTGTAGAATGAGTGCTATTTAACGTGTCTCTGCTAGTAGTCATTCAATTCCTGTGGGCGAGGGCTCTTCCAATGCATTTTTTGCAATCCGGCAATGCCTGTCCCATTCCTGGCAACCAGTGAGCATTCAACAGGTGCAATCATGGGGCTGTGTACACTTGTACACTTATGTACTTTCTCCTCTCCAAACTAGTAGTTGGTCATTTTAAGTTATGCAGTATGAATTGAAGGTGAATAATATTCAAGCTAGTAGTCTTACTAGGCTTATTTCTAAGAAATATTCAGCTTTATGGTCACCCCCCCCAAAAAAACCCCAAAATCTTTCATCTTCCTTTCAAATGGATACTCATATCAGTGTCTAGTAAATGTATTTAGGAGAGACATTTTTTTTTACATCAATCAGAGGACAGAGCTTTGATTTCTGAAAAAGAAAAGCTCCGTTTCCCTTAGATTTTCTCAGCTCCTCCATTGCTAGCCTCAGACAAGATACAAGTTATCAGCAATTCTGTGGGCGTCCCCGGCACTTAAATCGCATTCGGGAAAACACTTTTGCCGACAAGGCCTTCTAACAACAAATAAACGCTAGCCAGGACTACGAGCATTCCCCGCTTCACTGTAAACTAGAAAGCCGCGGATTTCGGGTCCGAGCTGTGACGTCATCGGGCTGGTGGACCGCGGCGCCCGTCTCAGCCTCCGGTGATTGGCTGGGGCGCATGACGTCACGGGACGAGGCGGTGCCGGGCTCGGGAGGACTCCGGGATGCTCCGATGCTCCGGGTTCGCTTATTTAAAAAAAGAGAGAAAGAAAGAAAAAAAAGAAAGAAAGAAAAAGGGTGGTGGGGGCGAACCGAGGAGTCCGCCCTGCCTC